TAGTTCCCTCTTACTGATCAAACCAGATTGTAATCCAGATTAGATTTCCTCTCGAAGCGTCCACTGAGTTAGGGAGCTGGGTTTGAGTCTCATTTTATAGCATAAGAAAACAGGAGGGTGTGTGGTCCTGTGCATAGATGTGTTTATCCACCGCAGTTTGACCTGAAGAGAATGGTCAGACCCTAATTTCCACAAGCTGAGAAAACAGTCTGTACGATGGAAGCAAGCATGTAACTCCCCTGCCAACTCCGCACATGCTCAGAACACTCAACACACCAGCTCACTCTCCTGACTTCCCTATAGAATCTTATTAGCTGTGTACTTTCCTTACATGGGCTTTTAAGAATAAATAAGACGGGGACATCAGGTACTTTCCTAAAACTTTTGGAAAGCAAAACATGAGAATCAATTGAAAGACCTGTAAGCGTACATTCCATAGTCCTTTTCAGAAGTCTGTGTACAAACCAGTCTCCCGTGTTGGCCTTCTCCATAATCCCACAGCACAGTGCACTTTGTCACTGTCCAGTCTTTTCTAGTATGGAGTCTAACAGAAAGTTTCTATGACAGAGAGAAAAACAGGATAGCTCACAGATGTTCAGATTTCTGTTCTGTACACAGGGTGTCATCTTGTTTCCTTGAAGCATCTTCAGAACTCACCACTGTACTTAACATGTTTAGCTGTTACCATCACCCCTTTGGAGCATTCTGGGAGGGAGGTGAATTTGTTTGTCCTCCTGGGAAAGTCCTGGCCCCAGGAGCACCTTGTGCTAACCTCCCCCTGTGGGCTGACCTCTGGAAAGGCAATGACTGGGGTAACGAGCGATGTCTGTGTAAAGGAGAGCTGGCTTTGTTATATCATTGAGCATGGTTTGAGTAAGAGCGCACATTGGTTTCAGATGCCTATCATCCACTAAATCTAAATGAGGCCTTTTTGTTTTCCCTTAAAAATTTTCTTGCTTAAAAGATTTTTTCTTTTACTTTTAAATGATTTAAAATTTAGAGGAAATTTTGTGAGAACAGCACAAAGATCTCCTATGGATCTTCACCCAGATCCATCAATTAATTTGACTTGCTTTGCTGTATTTTCTTCCTCACTCTGAATGTATGTGTTCACACCCCACCCCGTGCACTATTTGAAGGCATTTGCAAACACAATGCCCCTTTATTTCTAGACACCTCAGGGTGCACTTCCTAAGAACAAAGATGTTCTCTCATATACCATGGTTTCAGTTTTAAGACTTAGGTCTACAATTCATAATCAAATCTTACTGATCCAAGACTCATGCTAGGGTCATGCATCATATTTGGTTATCTGCTTAGTTTCCCTCCATCTGTGTCTCAGTCTTCCTCTTTTGTGGCACCCATATCTTTGAAGACTCTAAGACAGTTTCCTCCAGGTGGGTTAGTCTGCTGTCTCTAGGGCTAACTCGGGTTGTGTGCTCTCATAAGAAACCCTGACACATGTGTACCACCAGATTTGGGGTTAACTCGGCCTCAGTGAGCACACTGACGTCTCTTCTTAAATATGTGTGTGTGTGTGTGTGTGTGTGTGTGCGCGCGCGCGTGTGTGTGTAGAAATATTATATATATATATATATATATATATATATATTTCAAAATACACTTTTCATCAGGCAGGCTTCCTCCTAAAATTTCAGAACAGATTAGAAACTTATTATCCACATCTGTTTTTTGGAGGATCTCGGAGTTGCGGACATTTGAGAAAACTCCCATCTCCTCTTGTGTAACCCCTCTTCACAGATGTAGCTCTAAGCAACCGTTGTTTCATATTCAAAAGCCAATAATGACCACAACATCCACACTGTGCCTTCCTCTCACGCAACAGTGGCGCTGGCAGCCGTCAGTGTTGTAGAGAGGCCGGGGGGGCTGCCATGCCTCCCATTCTTTGTTTGAAGACAAGGTGTCACACAGCCCAAGCTGACTGCAAACTCACTACATCGTTGAAGATGACCCTGAACTCCCGATTCTCCCGCCTTCATCTCCAGAGTGATGAAATTACAGCAGGTGCCGCCATGCTGCCGTAGCTCCCATTCTGTAAGGATCAAAGCTGTACCAAGAGCCACCAAGAAGCATGAAAGTGTCCGTGGCAGTGTTACACACGTTCTCATCTGGGCAGGGCTGGGGATGTTTGATTACTTGTGCCACTGGATGTATTTCTCTACTTACAAACTTGAGAGCTTAACTACTTGTAAAAAGTTCAATTTCAGGTGCTCAGCAGTCTGAAGCATCCTTGTACACATTACCTAGAATGCACTAGCAAATATTCTTTGGAATTCAATTGGGCAAATGTGTTTTTCATGGTAAATTCCTTTCTTCTTAAACATTACAAACAGCACTCAAGTTCTCTCTTTTCTTGCATTTGTTATTCTTCCATCTTGATTTTTTTTTTTCTTTTCAGTAAGTAGTAGCGACCTAAATGCTTTAAAACTTACGTCATGGAACCCTTAACAGCACCCATTTCTACTTCGTTCTTGGCTTGCCAGTGTTCTCAAGGCCCTCTGAATTCCAACGTAATCTCAGTGGCTTCTGTATTCCTTCAAAAAAAAAAAAAATCATTTCTTTTGCTTGATGCGTTCTTTCTGCCACAGCCTTTGAGCTCAAAAATAGGTTCTCAGCTGGTAACATGCACGGCAACCCAGGGCGACTGAACTCAGGTGCGGGTTCTGGGGTAGTAAGACTGCAGCAGGGTCACCATTCTGCATTTTTGTCCAGTTCCCAGGCAACACTGATGGTTGTTGATGGTCTGCAGACCTTGAGTACCATGGTGCCAGAGGACTTGACCATGAATTGAATTTGGAGATAGAGCAGAAGGGGAATTGGTTGCACAAGAGGGAGAAGGAGCCTGGGAGGGCAAAGGAAACAACTGCCTTCAGGGGAGTGTGAGTGTTTCAGTACGGCTGCACAATGGAGTGGAAGGTGGCTATGCACCGCAGAGCGGGCCACAGTCTCAACTACTCAGGAGGCTGAGCCGGGAGAATCACTTGAGCCCAGGAAACTGAGGGCAGCTTTGGCTGCTGGCGAGATCCCATCTTTCTTCGGCCCCCTCCCCAGTACTGGGTTAATTGCGCTATTTAGTATGTGAAAGACAACAGCCTGGCCTGGTGACTCATGCTTGTAAGCCAAGCACTTGGGAGGTCAGAGGGAGGACGAGTTCAATACTAGCCTGGTCTGCACAGCTAGTTCTAGGTCAGCAGGGACCACACAGTGGATTGTCAGGAAAGGGGTGTGTGTGAGAGAGAGAGAGACAGAAGAGATTATTTCCTATAAACTGGCATTACAATATCTGTGTCCTACCCAACTCCATTTTAACTAGTTCTACTGGACTGATCTCTTCAGTACCTGTATCAGTCAGGGGACCTATGTCCCACTTGGAGAAAAGACACAGCAGTGTTCATTATAAAGAACTGGCCTGGGTGACTGTAGGAGCCAGAAAACCCATCATTTTTAGGGCTGGCTGGCAGTCTGGGGTTTGGATCTGAAGGTCATCTGGATATAGAATCTCCTTTTCCCAGGGTATGAGGCTGAGCATGCCCAGGGTAGGAGGGGTGATGATTGAATAAGGTCCTCCCACTTGTGGCAGATAACCTCCTTTACTCAATGTGATTTAAATATAATCTCATCTTTGAAAAAGTACTCTAAGCATGACCTATATTGGTATTTGAGCAAATATCAGAGTAGTATGGCCTAGCCAACTTGACTCACAAGCTTCACCACCACAGTATCCATCTAACCCAGTTGTTGAGGATTAAGAAAGGTCATGTGACAGCGAGTGGAGGCACTGTGCGTGCAAGTCCTTTTTAAATGGCATGAGTTAAAGTGGCTTCAAGAGTACTTATAAGCAGAGGCTGGGCACTCTGTTCTCTTTTCCAGCTTGAAAGGTAGATGGAGGCTGAGAAACCCGAGAAGCAGGACACTGAAGAAAAAGACGCCGTGGCCAGGAGGGCTGGTGCCCTAGGCTCAGCTGCAAAGGGGAAGGCCCCCTGCAGTCCAAACCCTGGTGTCCTGGAATTGGCAGACGTTCCTCATCAGCCCTGTGTGAGAGGAAGTGCTCAGCTACTGACTTCAGGACTTGGAGAAAGGGGGGAGGGGGAGTGAGAAAAGAGAGAGAAGGTTCTCTTTCCTGTCCCCAAACCAGCTGAAGGTGGCGAGCTTACCAGGCGGCTAAGTGGCGCACACTTGCACGGGTGGCATGCCACTGAGCATGTGCCATGGAGCTGCCAAGCTGTGGCAAGAATCCCTCCATCAGCACGTGAGGAAGTTGCTTGCTGGTCCTGAGGGGGGAGTTCTGTCATTCCATCAGCATGTGGGTTCTGGGGCTCTAACTCAGTCAGCACCTGTTGAGCCATCTCCATGGCCCCTGGATAGACTATTGAAACATGCAAACCTTGGCCCATGAGCTTTGGTTTAAAGAGCTGCAGAGATGGCTATGTGTATGCATAGCGCCTCACGCAGGCAGGGTACATCTGCCCCTGACAGGCATAGACTGCACTGGTGACCGAAATTACAAGAGCCACAACTGTTGATGATGAAATTCCCAAAAGGCCATCAGTTCTGGGTAAAGATCAAGTGACCATGTGTTAAAAATCCTTGCAAAGTAAATCCAAGACCCCAGGGCAGACAACAGTTACATTCCTAGAAAACTCACCACACGCTAACGTCAGGTAGAAACCACAGACTCTCAGCTTAGATCATTAAAGACAGTTTATCACTCTGTGAATGTCAGGTAGGGCAATTAAAGGGCACACAGCCAAGGCTCTGGGCACTCATTTCCAGAGGCGCCAGGGCACGCCTCCTGACAGCCCTGGCCCAAATCCTAACAGTGTGCTGGGGCCAGTGTTCTCACCGAGCAGGGTGCTCACCAAAATCTCCCTGTGCTTCCAAACTACTGCCTTCTATAATGACCTCGGCTCACCCATGTCACTGAAAGACCTCCTATCTGACTAAATGCAGCAAACAAATCATGCAGGACCAGGAAGATGTATAAGGTAAATTCAAAAAGTTTATTGCACCAAGTGTCACAGAAAAATGGATCAAAGTAATACATGAATGCTGTTTTTAGAAAAAATTTCCACACGTTGACATTGGTATCCATTCAACTGATTTAACAGTCCTATTGATTTCTCTTAACGAGATCAATAATAACACATCCCAGAATTTTCTCCTTTTTAAAACACTGAAATTTAAACATAATGCAAATGCATGTTCCAGGTGTTCATCAAATTTTAGCATTTTAAAAAATTAACATTCAAAGTGGGCTGCTTGATTTAGGCAAAAATTGTATTAAAACGTCTTCTCCACCAAGCACAATAAAAACAAAGGTTTCACATTAACTCAAGGAAGTCGTGGATCTTTGCAATTTAATGATGAAAGAATGAGTGAACTTAATACCCGAGTGTGCATCAGTGGACAAATCCAAACATTTACCAGAATCTGAGGGTTGTTTTCTATTCTTTATGTACATCCAACTAATGAAAAACCTAAAAAGCTACAGGCCAGTTTATAAAATCCAAACACCCCATATTAAGAGCCCAGACAGTTTAGCAAGTGGGGATTTTCCTCCCTCCAAAAAAGTTAATTCTGAAAAATACAGTAAGTTAAAAAGTTGTGGTGTGTAAACGGCAGTTCCATGAGGTGTGAGAAGATGCGTGACTTTCACTTCTGGAAGATGGGATGAAGCTATATAAAAGCTACTTAACACTGATAAAATATGAAGCTTTGGGATTATGCACAAGTATGGAAGCTACATTTTAAATCTTCATTGTCATGTTTTTAGAACATACACAATTACCTATACATTCATATCACTTATCAACTTATCAAATATAAAACTGCAACATGCTAAGAAAGAGGTCGTCACAGGAACACACACGCACTTCTGCTCTGTCGTGCCTCGGCAGCCTGCTTCATCAAACAAGCAGGGTGCTGCCCAAGTGACACTCAACAGGTAAGACTTACGAGCTGAAGAAACCCTAGCGTAGGTGGAATCCTGTCAGCTGAGGTAGATTTCTTTATTTAAACATTAAAATGTTTTTTTTTTTTTTCCCTTGAGTTGGGCCTCGGAGAAGGTGAGATCCCTTTATGGACTTCGGCTATGACAAATGGAGCCGTCAACAGCAGATGTGGGTTCAACACGTCCGTGAGATGTTTTGCTTGTTTTTTGCTTCCGAGAAGAGGCTGGATTTAAGACAAAGAAAATGTGGACACCCATCCCACAACTTAGGAGCCAGGAGAAGAGCAGCCATGTCTTTCTCTGTAACAGCAAGTGAGGGTGGGCCCCGAGGGGACCCGTGTGACCTGTCAGTTTCCCGCCAGCTGTTCTTCTGAAACTTGAAACATCAGATTAAGAGGCAGATTTGATTTTTTTCAGGCTTCGAAGGGCTGGGCTAAGTTTTTATGCACGAGGCCGAGAACCAACCGGTCCACAGCTCAACTCCCGAGTTGGGCTGTCAACATATTACTACAGCTACATGAGAACCGAACCGACTTTGTATTGAGTTATTTTCTCCAAAACCTCAGAAAATGGTGAGGCAGACTTCACAAGCAAATGAGAGAAGCCAGGAGAAAGAAGGGGAGAGGTCTGTGCTGGCAGGACGGAAGGCTCTGACATCTGCTCTGACAGCTCATTCACACCAAGGAAAAACAAGTGCCCAGAAAGCTGAGCCACAGGTGGGGCTCCCTGGCAAATGATGACATCATGGAGCCAGGAAACTGAAACCAGCAAATAAATGTCAGGTAGTAGAAAGTGGAAAGATATTTAAAGGAATGGGACACTTCAATTTTGTGAAACACATAAAATGCAAATGAAAGATCTTAAGTGCCTTGAAGCACCATCTATTTTTACTTATCACAGAAAATGAGAGTGAGCCCACACCCATGACTAACGTCGGCATTTGTCCTCAGTAGCATGGGGAGCAGAGTCTCAACTGTAATGAACAGGGATAAGCATGTCACATGATCAGGGTTTTTCCAGATATAAACTATGAAGTCGCTTGAGACCCTCGAAGCTTTGCCCCATTCTCAGGCCTGGAGACAGGCTGGAAGCTGAGGGGCTGACAGGGGTTCATGTACTTGACTGGCTGCTGTCTTTTAAACACCAGATTTTGTTTTTTGTTTTTAAAGTCTTTTAACACAGACTATTTTATGGTCAGTAAACTAAGGTTCCTTAGGCTTAATGACCAATTGGACTTTTACAGTTCTTCACTTTGATAACTTTGATAAATGGTCAAGTTAATTTCTGGAAAGATGCTTTTCAGAGAGTATTAAAGGGGATAAAAAGTGCAGAGCTGATGTGTAAAAGCTGAGATTGCACACGGATCGCTTCTAAATGTCCCAGCTACCTGCTTTCTCTGTCAGAGCAGCGGCAGGGTGCCCTCCCCAGCATGACAGTTATCTGCAGGGATGGCCAGGAGGAAGGAGACCTGGGCTGGAGAGCGCAGCCACAGACGCTTGCCTGAGCTCATGGAAACAACTTTGGTAAAAGGTCTTTCTGGAGAAGGCTACAGACACGAAAGCCAGAGATGAGCACCCAGTCTCAGCGCACACCTGCCAAAGCTGTCCGCAGCACCTCATGGGCGGGTGCTGCACTCATCTTGGCCTTACTGCACCAGCAATCGCTCTCAGACCTGCCTGTGGCTGCGCTGGGACCACAGCAAGCTCTGCGAGGAGACAGCCGTGGGCCTCCAAAGCACCCTCTTCACACCAGGCAATCCCCTTCCTCATGCTGTGCCAAACAGGAGCTGCGACAGCCGAGGAGCTGACAGTGGTACAACGTGGCTTTCTTCAGGTCAGTGCTCATAAAGAGAGCTCTGACCTAGAAGCCACAGCTTGTTCTGAGAGCACCACTTCATGCTCCCTCACACTTAAACAGGAAACGCTTTCCAGCCGGAATGCTCTATACACTGGTTACCGCCTACTCCAAAGTCAGCCCTCAACATTCTGCCCAACAGCGCCGGGTGGCTGCTTGGTTTGACTGTAGTTCTCTCCCACCACAAAGGCTCAGTGTTCTGGACCAATCACAAATTGCCACGGTACTGAGTAAACACAAGCCTCCCAGTGGAACAGCCACTAAGCAACAGGCATGCCAGGTGACCTACTGCTCCGAGTCCTCATGCCTTGGCCATCACTGAGCGCTTCCTCCTTTCCGGTTGAGTTTCCACTGAGAACTGTCCTCGAGTCAGTTACAAGAGGATTTGCGCCACATAAGGGGAATGGGTACTGGCAATCGCGGTCAGCAGAGGCAGGTCGTTGGATTCAATCCTGAGTGTTGAGAAAGTCAAGGACAGTTCTTTAAAATCGCATCATTTCATAAGAAAGGATTACTTCTAGGCACCAGCTTCTAGTCTAGCTCATCTTTTAAAACTAGGAAAAATGTAAAACAGGGACAGCAAGGTAGCTCGGCTGGGAAAGGCGCTTGCTGTCAAGGCTGATGACCTGAGTTTTTTCTCTGGGACTCATGTTCTGGCAGCTTACAACTGCCTGGAAGTCCAGCCTCAGGGGGCTAGATAGACCTCTTCTGGCCTCCAAGTGCATCTGCATGTGTGTGTGTGTGCAGCTGCACACACACAATACATTTAGTAGTAGTAATAATAACATTGTATAATACTTTGAGAGGCGGGCATGGTGGCCCATGCTTGCAATCCTAACAGTGGAGAGGCCAAAACCAGAGGATTCTGAATTTAAAGCCAGCCTAGACTACATAGTGATATCCTTGTCTAAAACAAACAACTCATCCAAAAAGCAAAGCAAAGCTACCTAAATAAAGCAAAGCTTTATCAGGCTTAGCAGAAAATGTAAAGGTTGACATTACAGACGCGCGTTCCTTTATTCCAAGTTAGCAGAGTCATCATCAGGGACATGAGGGAAAACTCCTCATGGTAGGCATTGTCTTCTTTATTATTTCAGTGATGGAGAGGAAAATGAAGTGAGTCAGGATTTTTTGTAGCCAAAGTGTGACAAATGCCCTCAGAAGATGGTGTGTACTCTTAGTAATGAGCACGTCTCTTGGGTGGGGTGAGCCCATCCACCGGAAGGGCCCCCCACCTCCTCCGCCTTGAGACAAGCTGCCACTTCCCCTGAGAGCTTTTGCATCGTTACCGTGTCACTAGAGACAAAGTGTCAGAGAGAGATCAAATGCTTCTCCGGCCTATAGCCTGCAACTCACTGGGGAGTGGCATGGGCACACTGACCCTGGGCACAGGGAGAACAACTGATGTCGTAGGTGTAGAATGACACAGGCCACTAAGTCCTGTGTGTGTGCATGCGTGTGTGCTCGTGTGTCCGTGTGTGTGTGTGTGTGTGTGTGTGTTTGCCAGACTACAGCCTGTACACTTGGGAGAAAGGTCAGCATTTCACGGAACTCACCCCAGCACCACGCTCAGTTCTTTCACGTGCACACGTGTGTGTCCCCGGAGGTACTCTGAGAGCATCTTACTTTTCAGGTACATCTCCTGTAGTCTGTCTTCCAGATGCATGATGCACTGCAAAGCCAACAACATCCACAATGAGGACTGCGATTTTAGCAACTGCCAGGAGCATTAACAGTTGGGCTTCTCCTTAATTCTTTCTATACACCTAGGTATAATTGCCCTCTTTGCAAAAAAATGCCCCAAACTACCAGCTTAAGTTTTTCATAAAATGGCTGTTAACATTGTTATAGAGTATCACTCTAGCATCTGAAAAAAAAAAAGCATTTGAAATCATTCCATAAGATGAACATTCCTTGTCTATTGGCTTCTAAATTGTCAACTCTTTATTCTTGGAACCATTCTCAGTCAATAGCATCATCACTTCCACTCTTGAGCAGCACACTCCTCCTTATGTGTATCAAAACCCTACTGAACAGTGAGTTCTGGGTTGCAGAAGCGGATTTATTTTTGTAGTTGTCTTGTCTTTGTTCACAAAATTTCTTGTTAAGAAATTTACCAACAATCCCATATTTAAGAATTTCTTACTCTGTCATTTTTATGGCTAGTGCTCTAGAGAATGTTAACTTGCCTTTATTTTCTGAGCCATGCGGCAATCTACATTTGGGCCATAAATCTGTGAAAAGATGTTTTAGTTCTCGCTTTTTTCCTCTACCTCAGCTTGTTCTGGCATAACACATTTCGGTCACTTCAGACTTTTATTTTGCTTTTGAGAGTGTCCTTTGGCTAGGTCTTTAGTAGCAAAGGGAGAGACAGTGATTTGGGGGCATCTTCACTCTTGGGAGGGTGTCTAGCGTCAGTGGTCAGAGAGCCGCAGCCATCTGTGTCTCACCAGTGGCAAGCGCTTTTGCATTTGGCAGGCAGTCACCCAAGTGTATTGATGGCTGTGGCAGGGTGATTCTCTCACGAACAATTTCCTTCTAGACTGTTAGGCCTTTTAATTTCAAGGTAAAAAGACTGACAGATGCATTTGTTGATCCTGCCCATCTGGGTTGATCACAGCAGGGTAAAGTGTCTGTGATTCAAGGGTCACTTTCAGCTCCTCACCTAGTCAGCATCTTCGGTGCACTGTGCTGGGGGTGAACCCAAAAGCCTGTAAGTACTGCTCAAGGCAAGGGGGATGCTACCAGGTTCCCCTAAGTAACCAGAAGTGTTGTGGTTCATGATGGAGTAAAATACAGTGTTAATGAGAGTTACAAAATGCAAAAAAAAAAAACAAAAAAAAAACAAAAACAAAAACAAAACAAAACAAAACATTCAAATTATATTGACTTCTTTAAGTTTTAAAGTGGTTTATGTGTAGTGTTTTCAATCCATAGAAAAAGTGTGGCACGCAATGTGGGTATAGGAATGTATTCTAAGTATGGAAAAAACACATTTACAGGAAATAGTTTTTAAAAGCTTCACACTCAAGTGTAGTGAATTTTTCCTTCACTTCCCTTCACTCCCGAGACTGAATGCCATTTTCAACTTCTAAAACTTCAGCTACTTCCTCATATGGAAGTCCATTGTGTATTTTAATGTAAGCAATGCTCTTGGGTCTTAGTTTTGCAAGGTTAAGTAAGCCATTCATGTATTACTAAGTGGTTATGTACACTTGTACCAGAAGAAGCAAAAAGAATGTTCTATAATTTACTGCTTTGAGAGTTAATATGTCAGACAATGAGAACCATGTCTGAGGGGACCCAACGCCAGCAGCTACACCACAGGGTCTAACATCTCCTTCCCTTGCAGAAAAGGAAATCCAAGCTTCGTAAGGAAAAGGCTCAATGCTTGTAGGAGAAAATAAGATCCCACCGCCCAGAGTGCTTCTCCATGGGACAGACGTTCGGCAGAGCATCCACAGTTAAAAGGCAAATAAAGATTTTTAAAGGTGTTGCCACTTTTTACACCACCAATTCGGTTTGTCACCGTGGCGTACCAAGAATACTTGTTCACTGTCGGCTTGTAGCGTCTGCCACTGTTCTGAACGCTTTGCGTCAAGTAACTAATTTTCTTAAGCACATTAAGCAGACTCTGTTAGTCCTCCAGATGTACAGATAAGGAAATTGAGGCTCCGGGAGGCTACACCACTCATAAGTAGACCTTGGAATTGATCCTTGTGCCTACCCACCGACTATGGAAAAAAAAATGTGTGTGTGTATGCATATATATATATATATATATATATATATATATATATATATATATATATAATTTATTACAGTTTATTCACTTTGTATCTCGGCTGTAGCCCCCTCCCCTCCTCCCAGTCCCACCCTCCCTCCCTCTTTTCCTCCCATGCCCCTCCCTCAGTCCTCCTCTCCTTCTATATGACTCTAGCCTATCAGGCCTGGCTGTCTTCCTCTGTGGCCTGGCAAGGCTGCAACCCCCAGGAGGAGGTGATCAAAGAGACAGCCACTGAGTTCATGTCAGAGACAGCCCCTGCTCCCCTTACTAGGAAACCCACTTGGAGACTGCGCTGCCTATGGGCAAAGTGGCTTTTAAAGCTACCTGCTGGTGTGGCTCCTCCATACATTGAAAAGCAGCATTGTGTCTCTGGTTTCCAAGAATTCTTATGACATACTTGTACTATCTTCATGTTGCAAACAAGAAACCTGACCTTCAAAGACACTCAGAACCATCCACCACACAAGTAGTAATGGCCAAACGAAACCCAGGATGTTCCAAGGTTTTCCTGCCTGCTACACTGCCACGGTTTTCACACCATCCTTCAGAATACCCGCCTCAAAGTCTTCACTGCGTGTGGAAAGTGGTGCAACTGAGAACCTGGCCATAGAATACAGAGAGGTGACGAGTGAGCTGGTAGTCAGTGTATTAATTGATACTCTCCTGTTTTACTGTTAAATAGTTCTGTGCCATTTCCTGCGGCCAGCAGGGAGAGAGAAGTTCTGAAGTCAGCCTTCTCTGTAAAGAGTAACTGTGCACAGAATAGAAGGAAGCAAAAAAGGCAGGCACTTCCAAGTAGTGTTTGTCCCTAAGGCTGGCACAAGCTGTAGGCTGCCAAGCTACACGCCTTTCGGCCTTTGTCAGACTTTCCTCTCTTGCTCTCTGGATACATTTCCTCTTTCAACCTCTGCACAAATATCACATATCAAAAGAGATTTGTTAAGTATATCCTACTGACTAGGGGAGAGCTGGGAATGATTTTCTAGTACTTTGTAGGCTATTCTTGATTTCTTTTTAAAATGTTACAAACGTGATCATTGAATACCACTTGGAAAGGAACAACTGAGGCCATGTTATAAGTTTTTACACAGTACTTCCGAATTTGAAGTGCTTCTGTTCACCTGTAATGGACTGTGCATACACTCACAGAACAGAAGAGACTGATCCTTCAGAAACTGGCCTGCCCTGATCTATCTACATGCTCTCCGATGGAAGATTTAAAGTTTCCCTTTAGACTCGGTTCCCCCTATCTACTTAACTTCTGCCTTGTTTCGATGACTTTGTCCTCAGCTCCACCTAAGCTCTACCCTGTCTACAGGTCTGAATTTGTGATTTTTATAATCAACGTATTGAATAAAAGTTATTTTTTTAACTATATAATTTTTGAAGATAGAAGAGCAAATACTTACAAAATCGGCTGGGAGCTGAAGCTTGTGGAGCTGTAAGATGGACTGAAGTAAACTGGACACCTGATTAGAGACCAAGACATCCTGGCCCAGCTTCATGGTGTCCACCACTTTCCTCTGACTTGTGGCTACCTGGACAGTCCACTTGTCTGTGTCTGCAATGATACAGACAGCTTCGGCTATGGGCTCATCAAGGACTGGATGCTGAAAGAGAGACGCAGTAGTCAGCATTTTCCACTCAGGACAGACAGAGTGCTTTGTGTGGTGTCGCACTGCAGAATCGTGCAGCTCCACTGAAGGTACCGCTGAAGCAGCACTTAGAATAACAAGCTAGGAGCTGGGCTATGGCTCCAAGGGCAGAGGGTCTTCTTAACAAGCCTGACAATGCAGGTTCAGTCCCTGGGATGGAGAGACTCTTTCAAGTTGTCCTCTGACCTCCAAATGTGCCATAGCATATGTGAACAGGCACGCACACACACACACACACACACACACACACACACACACACCAATAAAAGTAAATCTTAAAAAAGAAAACCACATAAAGAACATGAGAGCTATCCTGAGGAACACCATACTCAAGGTTGACCTCTGACCTCCATGACACAAATATGTATGTACACACATGTACATATATCACCACTACCAATCCCCCAAGGTTACAGCTTTAATCACTAGGCAAAGTTTCCTTAGTATCTGTGGTTACACTAATCATTTCTAATAATCAACTATAATCAGGCCAAGGACTTATTATCCAGATGAGTCCAACAGGTCTGGCTACTGAGATGTACTGTAAAATACTTTATATATTATATTGTATAAACTGTATGATTATAATAAATTGTACTAGCATAGGGTATAAGCATCTGTAATGATGCATCTCAGGTGTCAACCTGATGATGTTTAGTACATGCTTATTGGGGATTGTCTTTACTGGGATATCTGAAGGGGGAAGACTAGCTCATGGTGGGTGGCACCATTCCCTGGGCTGGGATCCTGGACTCTATAAAAAAGAGAAGTGAGCAGAGCACAAGCATTCATTATTCTCTGCTGCTTGCCCACAGATGTGACGTGACCAGCCAAACCCAGGCTCCTGCTGCTGTGACTTTGCCGTTATGATGGACTGCAACCTCAAACAGTGAGCCAAAATAAAGCCGCCTATTGACAGCCTTGGAACATCAGAGAAAATGGCCTCATAAATATTGCATCGCTGAAAATGAGGCGTTTTGCTTTGTCTGTAGTTGCTTTGAAGTCATTGCCTTCCTGTAGTAATGCATAAGAGATCAAGATATCCAAGATGGAAACTTAGTGATTCTCTAGGCACAGCGGCTTAGCTAGTGGTTCACATGTGTAGGACAAGCCTCCCCGAGGATGGCCTTTCTCCACGTCCAGAGCCTCATGTCCTGCACATGCTCTGTGGATGGTAAGCAACAACAGCATCTTCCGGGAGCCCACTGAGCCCTGACACCGTGTAGCCATCCACATGCCACAAAAGGCTTTTTACCAGTCGGCCACTTACTTTCTCATCGGCAGTTATCTCTCCTAGTTTCTGGGACATAATTTTTAAATTGTTGATAGTCTATATTTACATCTTCAGAAAGGCTATTTTTTCTGATTTTCTTAATGCCTTACACTTAAAAACTGATCTCAAAATTTGGGAGTTTGGATAAAAATAATATTCAGGTGTGATGCTTTATAACAGAATGATTACATTTAATTTTATCAAATTAATGATTGCTTTTACCATGACAAAGTCTTTCTTAGAAATACGAGTCATAACGTTAGATGACAGTGCGAAATTTTCCCGGCTTCATGCAAGTGTCCTCTGGGTCGCCTGACTGACATGTGTGCATCATTTTATGCTGGGAGTTCAAGTTCCTTTGTAGTCAGTCCCCTGTAGCTATCCCAGCAACCACTTTTATACCTTCTAGAACCACTGTTCTGATTTTTGTAGGATTTCATATGAATAAGATCACATAGTCAATAGTCTCTGTGTCAGTGGTACTGAGATATAGCTGCATTTGCTGCATGTTAGTACCTTACCTTTATTTTTGAGCATCCTCCCGTAAAAGCGCTGCCAGAGATGGCACAGCTGCTCTTGAGGACTTGGGTTCAGTTCCCATCACCCACATGGCAGTTTACTACTGTCTGTAACTCAGGTTCTAGGGAATCTAACACGCTCTACAGACACCGGCATGCATGTGGTACACCGGCCTGTATGCAGCCACTCATACACATAAGATAAAAAATAAATTGAGAGAGGGAGGAGATAGAGAAACAGAGGGTGGGGGAGCGGGAGAGAAGGAGAACGAGAGAGAGAGAGGAGAGAAACTCTGTAATGTTTGATCTCTGTTACTACTAATGATGCTCTGCTTTGCTTGCAGGCAGAAGCCTAGCCTTCTGAGAGCAGCTGATGGAAACAAATACAGAGACCCACAGCCAAACAATACGCTGAACTCAGGAGTTCTGTGGCAGTGTGGGAGGAAGGGTTGAGGGAGCCAGGAGTCAAGGACTCCACGAGAAGACCTACAGAGTCAACAAAGCAACCTGGGCCCCTGGGGCTCACAGAGACTGAACCACCCACAAAGAGCATGCACAGACTGGACCCAGACCCCCACACAGAAGTAGCAGATGTGCGGCCTGGTCAACATGTGGGTCCCCTAACAGTGGGAGTGGGAGCTCTCTTGGACTCTGTTGCCTTGGATCCCTTTCCTCTAGCTTCCTTGTCTGGCCTCAGTGGAAGAGGACACACTTAGTCGTGCTCCAACTGGGGTGCTGGGGTGCCCTGGGGGCCTCCCCGAAGATAATAGGGTGTGGGGAAAGGGGTGTGAGGGTGGAATTAGGAGGAGAGGAGGGAGGGGGCTGGGATCAGGCTGTAAAGAGATTACATAAATAAATGGAAAAAAAGAGAAGAAAACAGCTGTGAGCGTTCGTATTTACAGTCTTGGTATGGACATGATTTTATTTCTCTGAATAAATACTGAGTGGAGATGCTGGTTTATGTGGTAAGCGCAAGCTAAGCTTTTTCAGAAAACGGTTTTCCAAAGCGGCCCCATCACCATCAGCCACGGATCACAGTTTCCGTTACTCCATTCCCACCCTGGTCTTATACTGTATGTTTTAAATTATAGCCATCACAGGGTGTGTATTAGTTTTAATTTGCATTTTCCTAATGAATAATGAACCAACATATTTTATATGTTTATTTCTACGGTTTGAAGAAAAAAGACAAAACAAAACGGATCAAAAAGTGAATGCTTCACCAGCGGCAGCTTTTGGCGCACCCCATTGTGTCCTTTCTGCACAACTATCATAGTGAGCCCAAACCAGGAGAGGTGGAAATGGGCAAGTTTCCAGGGAAACAATGTAGCAGACTGCATGGCCAATGCTTGTGAGTACTTTTCTGACTCATTTCCTAAAGAAAGAAATAGTACTGGCTGACTTCTGTCTTTATTTAATCCCATCCAGCACCCTGTGCTGGCCACTTGTTGCTTTGAGCTGCTTAGCTGAACTTCCCTCTGGAAAAGGCCTGGCAGGTGTGTCAGCAGGCTGCCATCTCCTCTCTGTCAAGGTGCCCACGCTACAGTGAGCCAACACTCCTTTCTTGATATCTAGGAGGAAGGACGGGTGCTGAGGCTGAGCAGAGAGCACCACCACATTTCTCCCAGCAGCAGTTAGTACAAATCATTGCGTGGTTCCTAGGCCTGGACTGGTGTTGCCCTGATTGCTGTCTGCACCTGGCCCACAGCTCTGTGGCTCTCCCCAACTCTATGCATTTCTCATATCCTTCCAGTAGGGTGTCTTCTGCTTACATTATGACAGCTAGGTCCTGATAACCAAGGACCTAAACAGAAACACGGCAGCCAACAGTCACTGTGGCGACTTAACAAGGTGTGGGAAGGCTGAAAAGAAAAACCAAATATCCACTGTACTGAAGTGTAATTTCAACAGTGGGTATCACTCTATTTGTCCTGGACACTCTTACTCAAAGGGGAAGTGGTGAAGTTCTGCTTTTCTTCTCACAGATGAGGGAGAAGTGTCTGATGGGCTGTGTGAAAAGTTCTGGGACGAACATTCTTCCTATGCTATTTCCAAGGCTCTTCAGGGTTTATATATTTACTACTGCAAGAGTCAGCAACCAAGCAAAATCTAATTGTCCAACATTTATTCAAGTGTAAGTACCAATCGAGAATTGGATAAGCTGTACTTTGAATGAGAGAGGCCATTTTCCAAGGCAATTCTCATGGTATCCTCTTACTTACAGAAGGCTCCAAGGTTTTCTCACGCCCTCTGCTGACCCTCACACTTCTCACATGTAAACACCCTCTCCTCTGTAACAGACAGCCAAAGACAGCATCTGGACTGGGTGCAGCTCAGTGCTGGGTTAGCTAGGCATGCCTGGGGTTCTGCAGTTCTTTCCTGGGCAACAGTCTCAGAAACTTCCCTTTACAAGTTCCCCCCAAATTTTGATAATTGGAGTGTCAGATTTCAAACATAATGACGATTTCCCATCAACAGGTTTGGTCTTTATGAAAAGCCAAAACAAAAATGTAGTATGTGTGGGGGTTTGTTTGTGTTTGTTTTTTGAGACAGAGTTCTCTGTTTAACAGAGCCCTGGCTGTCCTGGACTCACAGAGCTCTGCCTGCCTCTGCCTCCCAAGTGCTGGGATTAAAGGCATTCACCACCATGCCAAACCATATGTGAATTTTGTACCCAAGCCCCATGCAATGCGGATCTGTCCTACATTCCTGGTCACATGCCGGCAGACCCTAAGCTGAATGCAATCAATCACATTCTTAGAAAACCAACTTTAAAAACTACTATATGCAGTCCAAGCTGGATCCAACCAACTCCTGTGGCTTCAAACTCCCAATTGCTGTGATTATAGGCATATGTCATCAAGATCAGCTTTAAAAGCTAGACTTTAAAACACTGATGTGCAGGCGATTTGTGCCACAGCTTCCAACTGACCCCAGCTTCCTATACAATCTCCCTGCTGCAGAAAAAGGAAGAGAAGATGTGTCCACCCAACTGCCCAATACTCAGCATGATGTAAGTACTGCCACCAATGGGAAGAGTGCTTTTAAGCAAGAAATAAGAAAGAGCATTCTCTGTGTGTGAATTACAGCCAAAGGTTGTATCAACATACATGGTCAAGGACAGAGGAGTCAGTATATAAAATTAAGGTAACTCGTTAAGGAAA